GGGGGGGACCAACATTAGGCACACTCTACAGGGACCTGGATACTGGTTATAAATTGTCTTATGATACCCCAAGATGTACCCGTGAATGAAAACATATATTAGTTACTTAAAATTGTATTCTAGTAGTGCATATGTCACATATAAATTCCGAGTTTGTGAATTCGAAAAGATTTCGTGTACATCGATACACACGCGAGATGACCATGATTGTGTGGGTCTTATTTAGTGTCACAGGCATACTATACGTTTAGGGCTATGGACTACATGTTTGTCTGGTCCAAATTACACGTCGTGCAAAGTTGTGGAATGTTTATCTGTAGCGAAATCTGATATATTGGTCATTAGTTTAATTGCAATCCTAACATTTAGAGAAGACCGTGTCATGACTGCCTCTTTGGCAACTGTTTACAACACATGAGAGCGCTGATATAAATCATTTGTCTAACGCTCGCCATTCTTCCCCGGACCATTTTATTTACTACTCTATATCGGTGACGGTTGTCATTGAAATGAGATTGTTTTTTTACACGGGAGCATGGATGAACTTTAACTATCAAGTTACGCAAGTTTACAAAGACGCGTGGCAACTACTGCCAACACCACAAATGAAATAAGTCGTAGTAACATTCTGGAGAACGGTGTCACAACGTTGGCGTGTTAGTTCACTCAACCCAGTACACATACTTCGGTATTATGTCAATTTACCTGTTCTCTATCTTGACCTTTGACCTACTGTTGTCTACTGCGATGATAAAAGGTCTGAACGTTCATACGCATTACACATGCAAGCTGACTGTGATTGCAAGGGTTATATTTAGTGTCAACTCGCCACTATACCTTTATTACTATGAAGTGAATACCACCTTGTGATTTGTCATTTAATCTGGCCATGTTACATAATATTTATGTTTAAAAGGTCTGTTTAAGTTCACTGGTCATCTACATGTGTGTTCGGTCCAAATTAACATGCATCACACTTCTTGCAAAGTTCGTGGTATGTATATAGGTAGAAAAGTCTGCTTATATCGGTAATAAGTTAAATTGCAAAATGCCCATAATGTTAATGAAGGGAATGGTATACGAGAAAAAATGTCTTCTCTTTGTTGTTGGCGTTGTCGTAGAACTCATAGAATTTTCATCAAATCGTTTTTAATCATATTAGTGACGTTCTTTTAACAACTGAACTGAAGTTCAACAAGGTGCATGATGGATCTACTTTTGTATGGGAATAAAGAATGATTGGTTCAATGTATACAAACCATTATTAGCTTTAGTGCAGACATCATCGATGTAAATACAGTTAATCAATAGAATTGTATTGTAATGTTCTGTTCTGTAATTTATTTTTTTCTGATTTAGTCCCACTTGAAAATAAATATTTATAATATTGAAAAAATGATAAATAGAAAAATTACCAGTGTACTAAAGTGAAGAAAAAACAAAAGTAATATTGTTTCCACTCCTTGGGTCCATGGCTAATGACGGCCAGGTGCATTTCTAACATTTTCTGGAATCTAAATATTTGGTTTTCGACATGAGTTTAGTTGATGAATTGGTAGTATGTAATTACATTGCAGACCACGGCTGTGTTCTCTGAGTTATACATGTGGTGGTCATAATTAGTTTTCAACAATAAAGCGAAAATCAAAATCCTATTTACATTTTGAGACGTTTCATAACACATCAAGGACAAGCACAAACTACAATGTTACCTGTCAATGCTGCTATGTGGCTGTAGAAACAATAACTTACAGCTTGAACACTTCATCTAAAACGCAAATAGGATGTACAGTGCATGAATCAATGCCAGTCCCAAAATCACTCAACAGTTTCAAGTACTAAAATGACGTTTTCGAAAAGGTCATTACACTTTTGAATAATAACGACAGCGAAAAAAGTGATATGGAATATAGCCACATGACGACCAAACAACAGATATTTCGTTGCATTGAAATGGTTACATTGTTTTGTGGCTTATGAAGACTAAGTGAATCTCATTTTTTTCTGAAATCTAACATTTTGGTTTTAGGCGTAATTTCAATTGATGAATTGGCAGTAAACAATCGCATTTTCGAAGTTATGCCTGTGATGGCGACATTTAGTTTTAACAATAGAATTTTGAAATAAATAACAAAAATCAAAATCATATTTCCAATTTAAGGCTGTTCATTTTATTGGCACGCTGGGAGATATTATTCGTCCTTTGCATATTGTGTCGACCACCACGAGCACACCAATAGTAATGATAGTTCAAAGGTGGAATTAGCAGTGTTTCCAGTCAGTTATGTTTCCAAACTTTTGACGTCACAAAATACATATCCTTCAATCGGGGACGTTTGTTCTGTATATACGAATTAGTATGTACAAATTAAAATAAAGATACATAGGGACATTACAATAAGGTGGAAGAAAACATGTGACAATATAATGATATTAACGGTAATTAATCATATTCTGTTAAACAGAACGATCATGTATAATTTGCTATAGAACATTATATTAAAAAGGCAACACTATTTAAGACACACCTTTTGAGAACATGCTATGGTGTAAAATCAGTCTAACATTATACATTTATTCGTGCATCACTTTTATGACACTTTACAGAACAAAATCTCAAAATTTTCAAAAAATTGCACATAATAGCACAACAGGCAAACTACCTGATTATGTTGATAATGATAATAATAGGTTTACCCATTATCCAATTCTTACTTAGATGAATTGGTGCTAACAATTCATAATAACAGGAACATATCTATCAATATTCATGAAAAAGCATTATTATGTAACAAAATGTAACATCAGAATTCTTAATAAAAATTAACACTGCCGATTATGCAATAACCCCTCTTAACCTATTCGACATCATTGAATATTTTATATAGTTCACGATTTTACATGTACATCAGACTTCTGCCAGCTATGATGCTTTCTACGATTAGATCAGAATGTTGCACATGATTTACCGATAAATAACACAGGTCTTTTAAATAATTCTCCATGTATTTTGGTTTGGGATAGGTTACCAGTCTTTGATTACCAGGATATACTGGCATCTGAAGAAGTTCAAGCTATTGTAAAGTCATTTATTAACAATATCTATAACATAGATAAGAAAGTAATTAATAATGCTGTTACAGTAGAAGATTTTAATTTAATTATTGATAGTGCATGGTGTGTAATTCTTCAAATATGAAACGTGTTTTTCAATTGTACAACGTTGAGCCAGGTACGATGTTAAATGATAGAAGTACGGCTTTTGTGCGTAGTTATAATCGTATTCAGTCGTTAAACTGGTTAGCGTTACAGGTATCAGTAAAATATAACAAAATAAGTCCAAACATTACTGAAAGCCAAGAATCATTAAAATTAGTCGTAGCACTAATTGTGTCGTAAGTAAACCTTTGTGAAATAAAATGGAATCATTATAATAATAGGAACAACCAAGAGTCAAACATGATGTGAATTGTGTCTAAAAATGACGAACCTATTATTTGCTACTTATTATTCTTTCGAATATAACCTTGAGCACGATACATTCCGACTGGGGCGAGCAAAATGGAACGACTACTATGCTAATCCCCTACCCCACCCTTGCAATATGCCAATGAACTTACGTACCTAAGCATATTTCGTGAATATATTGTGAAACGCCGGAATCACGTATTACGTTGGCAAGCCTAAATATGTTTCGATTTAAATACAGCGCAATCAGTGGCTGTTCTCGGCTCCACGAGTCTCATGCATGCCGGGTAATTTTCATATAACTGGGCTGATGACATCAATGACTTGTTACATATGGAAGTCAATTGACTTTGCGAGTTCATAATGCAACCTTACTCGTGAATAAATAAATAATATTCTTTACGTTATGTACAATATGTATTAACCATTTTATTAACTGGAAAACAATTTTCTGGAACATGAAAACATATGGTTTCCATATTTTTTACACTGTATTACAACACTGCGCGTTATCAAACGCCTAGTTTTTGGTGACTGATTGTCCCCAGTCTGACTAAAATATATCCTCGTTTGGGCTTTATTTTTAATTTTTTTCTCTTGGCGGTTTTTGTTGTTAAGAAAAACCGTCAATATTCATAAAATGGCAATTTAAGCAGTTCCCATAGACCACAGTGAACACATTTAGTCAATAAAACCCCATACCTTTAAATACTTCTAGAAATAAACACGTATAATGTAAGACACTGTATTATTTTTTCACCCTGTGTCGCGGACAAAAATGTTGGGATATGACTTTGCCATTGAAAATATTGGTAAAGTGCCCTAAAATAGATATAATATGCTGAATGCATTCATGCTGACCCCAAATTAGTATTTATTTTTTTCTATTCGCGTGACATAAAATGTCACATATATATGAATAAAGAAAATGATATTATCTTTACTTTTCAGTGGCATTCAACTTTAAAAATATGAGAAATACTGGTTTTAGGTATATTGTATTACAAAACGTTCATTTTTTTTATTTTTCATATATTATACAAAATACAACGAAAAAACATACACCGAATTTAATCAAAAACGCGACCACCCTTTTCACCCCCCTAACCAAGGCACAGGTCACCTAAATAGTTTTAATTTCACAATAAACCATTCTATCTGTCACGCTACCAATCAACATAGCATCGTTATACATGCTAGCCACACTGGATGCGCTGATTAGTTCGCCACCATCCATGAAAAATTGGCGAAGTTCGGCTTTGTCGTATGGATCACTGTTCGAGCTGAGGCGGAGTCGCAGAACCTGCAAGTGAGTCATATCAAAACATTTAAAGGGAAATATTGTAGCAGTTATCACTGAAACTGGTTGTTGGTGTCCCTTTGGGTAAACGTTATCTCTCGCATTAAGGTCTGGAATTCTATTTTCCCAGATGATGAACATAATAGTAGACAATGTATATGTCAAGCATTGTCTAAATAAAATTCGACGTTGGAAAGATATTGAAGTTTGAAATACGATTAGATATACAATAATCAACGTTTTATTCAAAATATGTAATTAATAGCAATGAAACAATCATTACATATTAATAAGTACATAGATAACACCGTTCATTGAAGTACGTCATAAATGGGATAGTCCACAGAGTGCAGTGATTAGAAGGAAGTGAATATGTAAGAGAAGTGTTTGGTTGAGTTCACATATACTAGTAATTCATGAATAATATACAAAAATAATGAGATATTTGCATGCATTCGTGACATTTTCGACCCATTTCATTCAAGTGTTATCTGTGCCAACAAAAACTGGTGAAACTGCTGGCAAACATTGCCGACCACCAAACGAGTATTCCATACGTTATCAATAAAACAGAGCTGAGAGAAATGAGACTGCTTATGTAGAAATGATTCGGATTTGATGATCACATGACTGACATAGAGACTCATTACTGGTTACTGTTGTTCTGGTTACTAGGGAAACATGCACACATGAATACATATATTAGAGGTAGTTGAATATAGACAAATGGCAAACAGTTACCGACTTTAAGATATATTCACACATTAGTTCGATAACTGGTACTCTTTGAAACGTATATAATTTACAATAACATTCATCAATAACAATACACAGACACATCAAGGCACACACGGCACGTTTACCACTTACTTGGGAGGCTGCTGGCTTAGTTGTATTTTCCATATGTTTTATTGTGGTATAGAGAGCAGGGTGACACCCAAGCCATATATCGCCAGTTTTCTTGTCCACCTCTATGTTGTCAACACTAGTATATGTATAGATCACCTATGTAAAGACATGTACAATTTATATAACTACACCACATGTGGGTATACAGATGTAGTGATGTCAAGAATTTGTTTCCATATGTCGAGAGATCGGTCACTGATACCGACTTGATAGACTTTCCAGTGAGTAGCTGGTTGACATCATTCTCAAAACGCTTTCCCATAACCTGTCATCATTAGGCTTATACGACGTACTAGGCGGTAGTCAGTGATTGGAACTAATTATAGATATAAACTTTGCTTACGGACTGTTAATCCTGGCAGTTTAGTATGTGTAGTCTTCTAATATAGCGGACAATTAATCAAATGTATATGACGTGTCAAGAACTTCGTGTGATTGGCTACATGCGAGTGGAATGTGTGGAGGCCACGCCTCGAGCTCTTAAACTTCTCTGTGATAGGTTAAAGCTTTGAGAAGTAAATAAAGCTAGTCGGAGAGGAGAGCCAGCCTTGGCGAGCTCTCCACAGGGCGACTGGGATTAGAATTCCAGTTCTATGTGGTCTTTGCTTGGTCGAAAGGGTTGCGGACGTACCGATCCCGGTTATCTGATATAACGATTAAGAAGACGATAATTAAACCGTTATTATTAATAGTGATGTGATCTTAGATATTTGGAGGATGATTTTAGTGAATTGTGTACAAATTGCTACGGACGAGACAACCTAATGTATGACGTGCTTGAAAAAGTACCACGTGACTTAATTGGTCATATTGCAATATGATTAGATATTTGATAGATAGACATTTTACAATTATGTAATAACTCCGAGACTAAGTTCATTTGTAGATGGTTATAATAGCGGAGTGTTAATTCCTCTGGTTGCGTAGGTACCGTGCTCGTGGATAGAGGTGTGGCGATTGATTGATTGATTGATTGATTGATTGATTGATTGATTGATTGTTAACAGCTTCGGTTTTGTAGCGAGCATGTTGATTCTGATTTGTATTCAGATTACATTTGCAAGTTTACAATATATTCGTAAAATACAGCTATTGTAATATATCTATGGAATCAATATACAAGTATGAACGTTCACCCTAAAGAAAAAATGAACCAAGGAACGAATGGTTATAACATCCACTACCATATATTATGCATGTATAATCTCAATAACAATAACAATACATGCCGCTATATCGTACAGTAACATGAAAAACGATTCTTTATACAAACACGCTCAATTTTACCTTTTGAATGATTAGAGAGTTATCTTCTGGAACCCGCTTATATATATTCACCGTGTTTCTGACAAACTCGGCTACATACACCAGCCTGTTTATGAAGGGACACAAGGTTCCGTAAATATTAAATTATTTCAATCATTACCTAATTTTGTTGATTGTTTGACTCGGGTGTTATTAACGAATTCAAAGCGATATTTTTGACAGTTTGGGTGTTCGATTATTTATGTACATATGCAAAGGTTGTGCCCGAATAAAACTTATTCGTTCAGCGTTAATGTCATCATGGTAATACTTCAATATACGCACACCGAAGTTAGACCAATCGCTACACAAATGACAGAAACAATACAATATAGAACATACTGCTAATCGAACATACTTCTTAAAAAATATGCGGTTGAGAAAGGATGTCGCATATTTCGTTATACTTTTATAATATATATCCTACCTTCCATCAGGTGACATATTGATACCGTTTGCAAACATCATCCCTTGAAGCAGAATCTTATCAGTCACATCGTATAGACCCACGCCACCCCAGGCCATACCTGCATATAATTCTAATATTCTTAAAATACCTTGCGTAAAAAACATGTCGTTCGTAAAATAAAATGATTCTGGTCCAACTGCCAGTACATCGTTAAGACTGTAGTGAAAGAGAGTGTGATTATAGATTATAGTTAGTGATACAAATGTTGATTATACATATATATCGATATATATATATAGTTAAACTTAGTAAAGTAACTGTGTTTTTTAGTAGTAAAAAAGCTGAGTGAAAACACTATTAAGTTCAATATACCGAAACCGTATAACGCCGCACATTGCGTATCACTTAGCACTATACGGAGGGTTAGTTAGCGCCTACCTGTACATATGCTCTCCTTGGCAGGTCTTCAGATGATAGAGAGATTTTTCCTTCTCCATAAACCTGAATATTTCAACGCTGTCTTTAAAGTCTGGAAGGTGGTTCACAACAAACAAACGCGTTTCACCTACGAATAAAATAAAACAATAAATCGCAGCATTTTAAGTCTGGTTTCAGTCTTTCCTGACAATTCATTGACACTCACGTGTCTTGTCAAAAACAGCATATGTTGGTTACCCATTAGGCAAAAAGATGACAGTGGCACTTGGCTTTCACGGCCGCCTCTTCGTTTTTGTCTGATCAGGAATCTTAGGCGAATCAACATCTGAATTGCAGTGGTATGAATTAAACGTGATAATACCAATATTTTCACGTTTTGAAATCACTATTTTTTATCGTGACATATTTCTAATTATAAAACTTCTTAGGCAATGTTTATGATCACATGCAAAACAAATTGTTAATCTCTGAGGTGCGGCATCGGGCAATAAATTGTACATTGTGTGATCAGCACTGAATATTAACCTCTGACATTTATTTGTATAATTACCCATCAGTCCGACGAGTGTAAAAGAATAAAATCAAATATTCAAGATCAAGAACAGTTTGTTACCTGTCACTGGGTTTTGATACAAACTAATTCCATGTGGGTCAAAATGATTATTGCTAAAGTTTCCAACAATAGATAATTCGGTGGTGTTTTTCTCAGGATGACTGTAATCAAATAACAAGATTCGTCCCTTGACACCTTCGGCATGGCGCTGCGGATCATGTACAAACCGCGGGGAAGATAGACCCTTGAAATAAATGGACGCGAAAAACCAGGCATTATCACACATACGCACATGAAACAGTACTGTGTCAGAAGCGGCGGCACGAGATTTTGCATGAGGGAGCGAGATCTGCTCACCAACCTTGCGCCGAAGTCACGGTCGCGACCTTACTAGGGGGTCCAGGGATGCCCCTTAACAATTTTGAAATCTAGACTCTCTGAAACGCTATTTCCTGCAATTTTATGCCGCCGCCACTGTGTGTAGCAACATGGAATTATTATGACCATGAATAATTAAGTTTACCAGCAGAACATGCAAAAATGCGCAATTTGACCAAAATAACCAACATTTTCAAAACAATCATAACTTAATTAATAATATAATCGCTGTCACTCATTGAGTGAAATGAAATGCAATTAAATATTCGCAGTAAAACATCCTGAACTCGAATGATAATGAATGATTTAAGACATTAATGTAGATATCATAACAACAAAAACAAAACAATTGCGAAACTACCCATGAACTTACAGACGAAATAAACGCCAAACCTTCACTGGAAACGGTTATGTCTTCCGAACCTCTGTCTATTAGAGTAAAAACATTCGTGGTGTGAAATTAGAATTACAAGAACACGGCACTATACACCAAAATATCGGTGAAATCAAGTGTCTTTACGAATTGGTAACAGCATATTCAGTTCCACAGATTTATTATATATTTTCGTTGCGAATAACACATTTCAAGTGGGTACATTAGGATACAATTTTAGTAGTATATTTGTAGTAGTATAATTAGAAGTACAATTCTAGTGGTATATATATATTTGTAGTGGTACATATTTATCATTTCTAGTGGTATGATTGTAATGGTTTAATTTATTTGTACATTTCTAGTGCTTTTCAGTGATATGTTTTGGTGGTAGATTTCCAGTGGTATGTCTATTTTAGCAATACATTTTATTGACTCCAGACAATTTTACAATGCTGTATGGCGTTCATATTTATCTATATATATAATGCATGTCTGAATTACACTTACCAACACCAGGCACGAGCCTACATGGACCAGGATATTGTTTATATATTGGTTTATGAAATCCAGACACATAACTATGGAATATAAAAATAAGAATAAAACGTGACTGTAAATTTCCTTTGCATTAGGGTTGTCTACAATCATATATATATAACTGCAATTTAATTCAACTAAACCAATACCTATATACGAAAGCAATTTGACTTTAGTTTAATCAAACTGTATCTAATTATAATAAATTAAATTCAACTGCGACGTTTATGTTGATAAACATTGATTTTTGTTCCACAATCCATTGCGCTCTTCTAATGAAAATCACGAGTGCGAGTTTTGACCTTAGTGGAAGCTTGTCAACGTTTCAGTCTGTACCTGTTGATCTGCACAACAGTCAAAGTCGCCATCTTAATTTATGTGAGACCCATATTCGCGCGTGCGTGACACGACGACCACCGCCCTTTAAGTTAAATTTAAATTAACGGATATTAAAAATGAAAGGGTGCTAAGAAAGTCTCGAACAAGTGACTGTGGAGTATTGGATTTAGTGTTATCTCATTTATCAACTATTGAACCTTGTTATTTTCATAAATACATTACAATCGTAAACTATGTGCGAGCATTACAACTACTTAACGTCCTTTGTATTCATTTACATTTAAGTACGCTTATTCTGGAATACAGTTTTCTGACAACTTATGGCAACCGCTATAAACGGTTTTGTTGGTATTCCCGTGAATCAATTTGTTCACAGTTTAAGGAAGACATTGTAGTAATTTTATTACCATTGGAAGTAATTTTATCAGCGGCTTTGTACACATTTGACAAGAAAGTGTGAAATCCGTTTTGCAAAGCACTGGTGCAATCCCTGGGATTTCGGAGCCGCGCTTCAACAACAAAATGGGCCTTGTTAAATGTCTAAAATAGCCGTCATATAAAAAAAAACATTAATATCTACTCATATTTCAAAAAAATCACTAATTCGAATTTCGTGTATCGCCAAAGCAGATCGCTATTAGATATCAAAGTATACGTCGGACTGTGCTCGATGGAACACGCGGGTTACACGGGATAAACAATACAATTTAATTTTTAAAAACTCTAGTTCCGGTTCCGGTTATGACTCAGCGTTTATATCCAACAACTGAAAGGGTATTCTGGTTCTTGAGAATTTCCATAGGGTTGTTAATCTAATCCCGGAGTCCACCGTGACGATAGGCGCTTGAAAACTCACGGCAAAACCTTCATACAGCGAGCGAGCAAGTCGCTGTGGGTTAAATTCTACGATCACCGCAATCACTCAAACGCACTACCCCAACAATGGCCGCACCAGAAAAAAACACGTGAGAAATGGTCAAGGACGAATTCAATACGTTAATTTTATACAGTTATTATTATGACTATTATTCGTGACTCTTTTGAAAATGTGTCATAAAATTGACCTGCGTTAGGTATTAATAACGTATAAGTAAATGAAGTACATATACTCACACGAAGTTACAAACCCTTGCAACGATCACTGCCAGAATGACAACTGATATCAATCGTAGTACCATTGTGAAACAGCCAAGGCCTAGTATACACTGCCGTCAGGTAATTAAGACCGATGCTTTATAAACACAAATATAACTCAGGCGGCATGAGTAGCGTAAGCTGCTCTAACGTGTTATAATTATATGACAATTTCTGCTTGCAACTTTCCCAAGGGGGATTTTGTGTGTGTATAGTGCTTAGTTCTAAAATACAATACAACAGCAAATAGTTTATGAGCTCTCATGTGATTGGTCAATGTATGAACCGCTCTTCCAATACTGTGTTTTACTCCCTGTAAATAGAGTTTATGTACAAGGAAATGTAGAAGAGTTCCGATGGAATTTTTAAAACAGAACTGTTTAAGATATTCCGAGTACAGTGAGAGGTTTTTTTATACAGATGAACGCCGGGATCAAACGTACACACTTTACTGTGGTGCCGGGAGACGGAAGGTTGGGAAGTTTGTTTGAGTTCGACGGATTATTTAACGATTTAAAATTATACAAATTTGCCTATGGAAATAAGTGCATTTACTACAGCCAAATTAATGAATATAAATCCTTCATGGGGAACTTTATTCGCTCCGACGACTGAACCATGAAAGGTAGATGTTACTTTAATCTCAGACAACTAATACATTTATTGGTTGTCTGAGCTTTATTGTATACATTTTCGAGAGTAATTTTTTGTTGTTGCGGTATACGCAAGACGATGAACATCTTATGTTTTTTAACATCACTTCACCCATAAACAATCCACCCCTACACCAATCTGATTAAAATAAGATCCTGGCTTTTTTCACCCATTTTTTGTATATTTAATTTAATTTAATTTCGATCTAGTATTCATTTTTTGAAGTTATGGCAATTGTGAAAGCCAACAAGGATCTGACTTAATGCCTGTGTAAACCCCGTTCAAATCTCGCGTAAGTAACAGCCAATCACAGATCTCCTTTTATACAGGCCGTCGGTTGCTTACAATTCGTACTTTTCAATGTAGCAATACTCTACATGAAAATCTTCCTGTATAGAAAATTACTAGTATATTTTTTATTCACAAAAGAGATTCCACAGTATTTTACAATTTTTGTCATTACACTGAATAATTTTTTTTTATTTCCAACAAATGTGTACACTTCCTGATGCATCATCGCCAGCCAAGGTTCGTTTATTTAGTCATCACTTTAATACTGAGCATGATTATCTAGAAGATAGGCAACAAATAAGTAAATCATAATGACTAGAAAACTGTAAACAGATATAGTAAATAATGCAAATTGATTTTAAATTGTAACAATAATCTTTATTGATAAACGTATCTTTAATTGAGATATTGTTCGTTGTACAATAAAGTTAAATGTTGAAACTTAAAATGGAATGAAGGGAAAAAATAAGAGAAAACAAAAGTTAGGTAGCTGGTAATTTTGATTTAATAAAGTTTTCTCTCATTAAGAACCTTGATATACAAATTTGCCTAAATTGATTAACATATTTTTGTCTTTTGTATTAAATATATTTACTAGTTTTCCTTTTCCTTGTTTTGATTACTGATTGGACCTACATGAATACTAACGAATTTTACATAACCAATTTTTGTTGCAGATGCAGGTTCGTAGGTACTCGGAGTGAAATTCGTTTTCTTTTCTTTTTCTTACCCAGACAGTCTGGCTATATAGTGTGAAAATTGTTGTGGAGTGTTGTCAATGGTAGAGCGTACTCAATAAATAAATAAATTTTGAACTGAAGCAGCGAAAGTTTGTTTACGCTGCTCTTCGATTGACAAGTCTCCGTTGATGATTTATGTAAACGAGTTGCTGGCCTCAGTACGGTGCGGTGGTGAGTGACTTCCTGTCCCGGCTCTCGGTTTACCTACCACAAGCATGGTTACTTGTAACCGTGCCTCAAGCGCGATCAACTAGCCTTGCAAACTACACTTGTCTGAAGACGACGGGACTTGTGTGAACAGCATTGCTTCACCGTTATCTCAGAACACAGTCCCCCAACAAATTTTGTTGAGAGACTGTGCTCAGACTACCCCCATTTCACAAACATGTCAACAATTTCCAGTCTGGTAGTAGCCTGACAAGTTCGCGTGCGTTGCGCCCTCTGCGGTGCTCCAAAACACAACACAGTGGGTTATCATGCCGTTCGGCCGGCGAGGGCGCCACTCACGCGTACATGCATAATTTTCAAGCTTTTACGCCTTGTGGACGAAACTAAAAAAAGTGTTCACGCATTTTTTGGCTGAAGCAAACAATTTCGCTGTAACGATCACCGTACTGATAGCATTGCGATGCAATTGACAAACACCCTTACTGTCAAATAACACAAACGTAAAATCTTCGGGTATATTTCGTTCGTTTCCCTCAAATTGTAAATATGTATTTAATTTTTTTACGTGACGATTGAACATCAGCAACGTCGGTGCGTGGTGGATTTGAAACTTAATTAGCTCTTACCGATTCGTCAGTTTGGAAAATTTGACAACGTTTTTACGAAAAAAAGGACGTCCGGGCCTATGTTTAAAGCAATGACATTCGAAGTGTGAAATACTGACCGGGATTGACTATACGGCAAACAGCTTGACAACTTTGTAATATGAAAACAAAACATGCTATCTATGCGTATGGACGCTAATAAACAACTGACAAATATAGTGTGAAAGTTTCATTTGAATTAAACAAAAATTGTGAGAGCTATTTTGATTTGTAAGTCCCTGACAAACCGAAAAACATGCATAAACATTCATTCAGAAACAAATGCTAATGCTCATAATTACAATGGCTGTAACAGTCCCAAATTTAAACCTATTATTATTTTGTAAAAAGTTAAATATAGTTCATAATGCGGAGATTCCGTCATTTCTTTTTTCACCGTGTTATTTTTTATTATTTATGTACAACCTTGCTAAATCTTGTTAAGCATTCAAATAAGAGAATATTTGCACCTGTTTTCTATATTTTAAAATCGTTTTTGAGTATGTTTATTTATATGTGGTGTTTTGAGTATGTTTATATATATGTGGTGTTTTGAGTATGTATATATATGTGGTATTTACAAGTTTAAGGCCATCGGCCCATAAAAGTATATATATAGATATTCTTATGAAACTTTTCATTACATTGGTTTTTCGCGAAGTTAATAATTCTACAAATTTATAAAAAGATGGAGGGTTGAAATAATAATTTGGAAGATACAATTGACGAAATTCAGAATAAAGTATGAGTATGTTCCACTATTCGCAAAGATGCGAAATTTGAACAGTCTATAGCCAAGACTATTTGGCGTTGGCAAACAAATCTCCAGTAATAACTTCAAAGTCGAAGTCCCACATCTTCAACAGAACACAACGGTTACATTAAACAGCGTATAATTTTGTTTAGTTTTATTTCGGCTGCATATTCAAAACTGCATTTTTCTTCGACTTACTTCACAATGATAGGTAGATCTATTTATTGGGACCGAATGTACAATACTAATTCGACTGGGTTGGAATATTTGATTTTAAACAATAGTATGTCGCGACATACCGCCACAAAAATGTATTTCAACACAAGTACGGTATGACTGTCTTGTATCTGCGCATGCGTATTAGCTCAGACATCTAAAACTGTCAGTGGTATGAGTTGGGTATTAGGATAACAATCGACATTTGACTTAATATTGACATATGATATTGAGATTCAGTATATATGTCAGTAAAGTCATCGCGTACTGTACCTCGGCGTACCAACTAATATTTGCACATCGTGAACATATTATTGACCCTTTTACGTATCCTGAAGGTTGCTAATTAATATTAATATTAATGAGCAATAAAATGTATGAATTACAATTTTCGTAGTTAATTTAACTACTTTAATTAATTTGAATTTTGCTGAAAATATTTTAATGTAAAATGAATCTAGAGTTTGGTAAAAATGAAGAATGGATGCATTTGTTTAAAATCGCATCAAAATACGTGTCTTGAGAAATTGACCCAAGCAGTATTTTCTTCAAACAGGAAACAGGAATTTGACCTTTCCGTTTGTAATGGATATATCAAGTACATATATATAAATAGATAATTATTATATGGATGGTTGACTCAACATAAAGTCTGCCTTTAATTTTATAAACGAACCATTAATCCTAAAACGTCAAAGAAACTTACTACACTCGTATGTAGATCACACAACGACAATTTGACGCATCCATGACGAGTCAACAAATCACACACAAGTATTGAATTGTATTTGTACATGTTGCTTCTGTCTATTTACTCATTACTGTCTTGCCATCCATTATCCCGATTTACGGCCCCGGTTTGTTTGTTAAAATTAATAAAAAGTCATCGCACTGAGATTGAAAACATATTGGATAGATGTGTCCGTACATGAACGTTTAAAAAACGGTGTCAATTTACTTTCAAGTTCTGTTCTGTGTTATTTTACTGATTGTGTTAATGTGCGTAGTAAAACGACAAGGGAAGTGGAATGGTGATATAATGGTTGACAAAAATAATGCAACTCTTGTCACTTTCATATCAATAGTTTTTTTTATTGTAGATTAATGAATTAGTGTATAATAGATCGACACATGGTAATGAAATGTAAAGAGTTCGGACGATGAAGATATAAAATAGGTTTATGCACAAGTCAAATCTAAGACGTACCTGGCACAAGGTACCTCAGTGTTGTTGACTTTGTCTTGACTTACTACTTTGTAAATATCTAGTCACATCTATACTAAATTAAATAGTCTCGAATTTAATCATTAGGTTTATGTTTACAGACTCATTTAACAGGTGCAAGGTTTGATTGATATGTATGTTTGATGTTATCGATCACACACATAATTCAGTCATGAATCAACTTGTACTAAAGTAGCAAGGTAATTGCTATCGTCATGGAAACTAGTATCACAGGCATTATATTTATGAAACGTACAAGAAAATAATAGTTAAATGACAAATTACACAAAAAATGAGCAATATTTGTTGCCATTGACAAACAAGGAATTTTACTTTTCTGATTTTATTTTCACTGTAGAAATATTTCCTATTCGTTTGTTCTTAACAAAATAGGTAGCAACTCGAATAAAGGCTTGATTAATACTATGCTTTATACTTTAATTTACAGGGTTCAGTGACATTAGAAACTTAAAGCGGGGAGTCGTCACCTGCGCATGCGTCATATGGCCATAGTGTCATTGTTTACAAACAAGCGTCTGTCCATGAGCCTTTGCGTTTTTAGCGTGTTATCGTCGCTTGTGACTCAATTCCCGTGCGTGCGTAGGTGACGACCCTCCCGCTTTAAGCGAGATTGATTTAATTGTTTTAAAAGGTTGTTTGAATGTTGCGATGCCACGTATAGAAACGACAATATCATAATCACAATATTATAATTTGTAGTGTGGAATGACCTCGACAACATAACGTGTCGATTTTAGACTTTAGCATTTTCATTCTTATCAAACCAATTATCGTTATGTTTATATATTGCGTCACCCATCACGTCTGAGACTATCAACAGTTATTCTGTCATTTGAGCTACCCTGAAAACATTAATCTAACATACACATGATAATATACACTATGCATTATGAAAAAAATACCAAATAAATCATCTGAAATAAAGTGAAATAAAGTCGGAATAAGATGCTAATAATATTCTTGAATATAGTGATGATATAAAGCCGGTATATAGTGGGTTAATTAGTAGTGGGTGAATTTTTACAATATTTAATTTGTTGTAGCAAGTTACAAAGCTCGTATGAGTGCCTTAGTATTGACAACCGCGGAGAGTGGTTCTGCAATGGACGCATCTTCAACTTTATTTTGAAACCTTGCAACACAGCAACAGAAACATTTGAAAAAGACCTTTCGGAATTGTTTGTATTTGAAAACGTATATAAACGGGTTCAGGCACGAGTTGGCAAAGGCTAGCAGTACAACAACTTTGAAATAGTCGGCCGTGTAACTGATAGGGGCACCAGTGTTATGAGCGAGAAATAGGAAACTATCTGGTGTCCAACAGATCGCGTAAGCAAGCAATACCATGAGTAGCATGCGAATCACCCGTGTCCGTGCTTGTAGAAGGGTTCGTGCCCGATTAATATCACTCGACCCGGCGGCGATATCACTGGCTCTCTTTCGTAGGTTGACAAGTATACGCCCGTATGCCCATACCATGACGATTATTGGAATGAAGTAACTAATAAGAAAATTGAAGATGCCGAGTCCAACACCCACAGACGAGCTAGGATAAACAAACAAGTGACATTTGCCATCATTATAGCGATGAAATACTACAAATACCATTTCAAGTAGAAACGCCAACGACCAGGATATTACTACCATTACTGTCACGTTATTTCTAGTGTAAAATATGTGATATGACAGCGGATAAATAATTGCAAAATATCGCTCAAATGTGACAAGAATGAGATTGAATGTGGAAGCTTTGATGGTAATCCAAAACAAGACTGCGCTGTAATAGAACCGACAAAACGCCTCACCGGCCTCACCAGCTGGAACCGTTAAAGTGTATGCGTTGATGGGGTAGTGGTTAGCAACGAGTAGAATTGATACAAGGAGGTCTGCCACGGCCAGATTCAAAATCAAGTAATTGGTCATGGTGCGTAGTTTCTTCGTATTCAATATCACTATCAGCACAACAGTGTTGCCAATTGTACCAATGATACCAAATAAAATTTCCATTACGTGCACGTAGATTGCAGCCTCTCTAGCTATATCTGCACCATATGTGGTGTTGTTCATGTTGAATGTTCTCTAGTAATGTTATATCTAGAAAAATAAAAACAATTTATATTTAATGAGAACAAGTCGAAAACAAGCCACAAAATATCTACACTGAGTTTATATTATTGACACGAGTTTGTGTTATTCGGGTGATTATTGGAAAACATTTGTTTAATTTGCGTGCACTCACACAATCATAATTTTCAAAATGATTCATACTTTTAATATTAAAACAAATATTGTTTTAACGATGTGCAACTCGCATAAATAGTGAAAAGGTCCTTTTACAAGAATTTTGATAATATTCGATTTCCTGTTAATTTGTGATGATTTGCTGATTTACGACTATCGCAATTGAGCCGCATCGGTGTGAGATTTATATAATTCAAATGTTGTATATAACTGCACAGTTGGTGTTCGTATTACATAATTTTCTCTCTGTTATTATATTCAACTTTGTTGTTTTTTGTGCAATACATAGAACCAGCATTAACAGTCAATACCATATACATAATATTCAACAAAACATACGTGACAATGTAAATTTGTAAAGTCATGCCTCTGGATTTAAGACGTACATATAAATATTATTTAAAAATTTATTGTAATCTTTGTAACATTTTTAAAAACCTAATATCCGAATGTAAGTTAATAGATTCGTAGTCATCACTACAAGACCTTTCGTTTAACGATTGATCGATTATTGTATAATTATGATACG